AGAGAGAGAGAGAGAGAGAGAGAGAGAGAGAGAGAGAGAGAGAGAGAGAGAGAGAGAGAGAGAGAGAGAGAGAGAGCAGCAGAGCATGTCCAGCAGAGAGAGAGAGAGAGAGCAGCAGAGCATGTCCAGCAGAGAGAGAGAGAGAGAGCAGCAGAGCATGTCCAGCAGAGAGAGAGAGAGAGAGTGGAGTCTTGCTTCAGCGACATGACAGCAGCTTGGCTGACGTGGATATCTATACAGGTAACGTAAGATTGTCTCAAAAGGTGGAGGAAAGAAATATGTGAAAGAAGGAAGGATGAAAGGGAAGGAAGGATAAGAAGAAGGACAGGAGGGACAAGTTTTTCCTCCTTGTCTTTTTTCTCAAAAGGAACTCACAAAGTGGTTCTACAAGGTATTTTTTATTTACTGTTGAAGAAGGGGGTTGGGGGTATGGGGGAAGTGCCTAGTCTCTCGTAGGACTGGAGGTGATCCACAGTGGTCGTCTGGACTCATCTTACTATATAACAAGCACAACACTGATACTAGTTAACAACCCAATTTGAGTATGAGGGAACTACGAATCTAACGTCTTCCCCCCCCCCACCCACACAGTGTGTGTGTGTGTGTGTGTGTGTGTGTGTGTGTGTGTGTGTGTGTGTGTGTGTGTGTGTGTGTGTGTGTGTGTGTGTGTTCTTACCTAGTTGTGCTTGCGGGAGGTTGAGCTCTAGCTCTTTGGTTTGGCTCACATTTCTGAGCCTATTTGGCCTATCTATCTATTATAGAAGAAGGGAAGAGAGCGAGAGAGGTTGGTGCACTCTGACCTATTCTGCCTTTAGAGCGATCCATCTGTTGTCTTGTGTTTCCAAACAGAGAAATTGAGGGTTTGAGGTTACCTTTGGACTTTTAACAATTTTCTCGATATCCCACAAGTTTCCCTAAATGGAACTTGATGGAAAGGGAACACGGATAGAAGGGAAGTAGACACGGAGAAAGGGCTGAAGCAAAGGAAAAGCGAGAGAGAGATAATGAGGAATAACGCAAAGGAATAGGGGGAGTAGAAAAGGTGGAAGCAAGATAATAGGGGAAGGGAGAAGAGAGAATGAAGAACGGTAGGAAATGAAGTCATTTCCATGAGGTAAGTAGAGATGATTGTGATTGTGACTGTGACTGGGGATTGGGGGGGGGCATAGAAGATCGTTTGGGTAATAGAAGTCAACACAAGAGGCAGCTTCCCTGGAGACTGCTTGTGGGAGCTGTGGATGGCCTTGCAGCTGGATACGATAGATTGGAAACCCAAGGAAGAGGTAACTGAAAGAGTGACATTTCCTGTTGCTGATAGAGCGAGAGAGCGAGAAAGACAAAGAGAGAGCAAGACAGAGAGAGAGAGAGAGAGAGAGAGAGAGAGAGAGAGAGAGAGAGAGAGAGAGAGAGAGAGAGAGAGAGAGAGAGAGAGAGAGAGAGAGAGAGATGTGAGGGAGAAGGAGGGGGGGGGGGGAACTATGGAAATTGGTGAACAGGAAACATTTTTTGGAAAGGGGGGCTGTTGACTAATTACAATTGAGTAAAGTGAGGAAACTCGCTTTCTCACACACACACACACACACACACACACACACACACACTCACACACACACACACACACACACACACACACACACACACACACACACACACACACACACACAGGGCCTCGTAGCCTGGTGGATAGCGCGCAGGATTCGTAATTCTGTGGCGCGGGTTCGATTCCCGCACGAGGCAGAAACAAATGGGCAAAGTTTCTTTCACCCTGAATGCCCCTGTTACCTAGCAGTAAATAGGTACCTGGGAGTTAGTCAGCTGTCACGGGCTGCTTCCTGGGGTGTGTGTGGTGTGGAAAAAAAAAAGTAGTTAGTAAACAGTTGATTGAAAGTTGAGAGGCGGGCCGAAAGAGCAAAGCTCAACCCCCGTAAAAACACAACTAGTTAACACACACACACACACTGTGTCTGGTAGCTGAGTGGACAGTGCACAGGACTCGTAATTCTGTGGCCCGGGTTCGATTCCCGGACCAGGCAGAATTAAATGGGCAAAGTTTCTTTCAACCTGAATGCCCTTGTTACCTAGCAGTAAATAGGTACCTGGGAGTTAGACAGCTGTCACGGGCTGCTTCCTGGGGTGTGTGTGTGTGGGGGGGGGGGGGGGGAATTAGCTAGTAGTTAGTACCAGTTGATTGATTGACAGTTGAGAAGCGGGTCGAAAGAGCAGAGCTCAACCCCCGTAAGCACAACTAAGTGAATACAACTAGGTGAATACACACTCCACAGAAACATATGTATATCATCTCCTTCATCTCAACTCTCTTTAGAGACTCTTAGAAGCTCTTTAGAGAAGCTCTTTAGAGAAGCTCTTTAGAGGCTCGAGGCTCACCAAGTGTACAATGTCCTTAATTACATTGTTTCTCTCTTCAAACTACCCAGCCACTTGGGGTGGACGGTAGAGCGACGGTCTCGCTTCATGCAGGTCGGCGTTCAATCCCCGACCGTCCAAGTGGTTGGGGCACCATTCCTTTCCATTCGTCCCATCCCAAATCCTTATCCTGACCCCTTCCCAGTGCTATATAGTCGTAATGGCTTGGCGCTTTCTCCCTGATAGTTTCCTTCCTTCCTTTCTCTTCAAACTCAAGTCTTCTTCGACATATTTCTCATGTCTTTCAGTCTTGCTTAAGACATTAACGTGTCTTATAGTATTCTTTGAAACACTCAATTTTCATCCGTTCTTAAAACAGTAACTTGTCCTCCATTGTTTCATGAAACACTCTTTTGTCTTCCCTGAAACACTGACGTGTGTTCCTTAAATGACTTGCTTCAAGTCGACTTGAGAATGGTCCAGGACGGACCGAAACATCGTAGTCCCTTCACTCTCTAGTGTGTGGTCTGGTCAACCAACCCGTTCTCGCACTTGCTTGTAGTCAATATTGGCTTAATCAATAAGTGCATATGTGACATACTAATTGATTGTGAATATTTTAGTTTACCTTGAAAAGCTTCATAGAAAACAACGACCTTACCTAACCTTCTTAGTATGTTAAGATAACCATCTTATTGCTTCGTAATTACAATTATTACTTAACCTATACCGTTGATAGGTTAAAGTAATAATTGTAAGTAAGAAGCAATAAGATGCTTATCTTAACATACTAAGAAGGTTAGGTGAGGTCGGTGTTTTCTATGAAGCTTTTCAAGGTAAACTAAAATATTCACAATCAATTAGTATGTCACATATGCACTTATTAAATAAGCCAATATTGACTGTAGGCAAGTGCGAGAACGGGTTGAGTCAACACTTGCTTCAAACATTGGCTTGTCTTTCAAACTTCTTTAAATCATTGACTTCCGTTCCAATCTTCCTTGAAAGACAAGCTTAGCTTCCAATTGTCTTTAAATATTCGGTCTTATAATCTTTCTGACAAATATAGCTTTTTCCTGTCTGAAAAGTAACTGAGGGCCTGGTTGAACATCAGTCCGGCAACCAGGAGGCCTGGTCGACGACCGGGCCGCGGGGACGCTAAGCCCCGGAAGCACCTCAAGGTAACCTCAAGGTAGGAGGGTTGTCTCCCAGTCTTTCCCTTGAAAGAGTTGCTTGCTATTCAGTCTTCAGTCATTCAGTGGTTTGTCTTCAATTCTTCTTCGGCCAGAATTTTTCTTAGATTAGTTTTTTCTTAGTTTTTCTTAGGGGCCTCGTAGCCTGGTGGATAGCGCGCAGGACTCGTAATTCTGTGGCGCGGGTTCGATTCCCACACGAGGCAGAAACAAATGGGCAAAGTTTCTTTCACCCTAAATGCCCCTGTTACCTAGCAGTAAATAGGTACCTGGGAGTTAGTCAGCTGTCACGGGCTGCTTCCTGGGGGTGGAAGCCTGGTCGAGGACCGGGCCGCGGGGACACTAGAAAAAGCCCCGAAATCATCTCAAGATAACCTCAAGATAGATATATAGAAGAGTTGTTACATTCTTGTAGAGCCACTAGTACGCGTAGCGTTTCGGGCAGGTCCCTGGAATACGATCCCCGCCGCGAAGAATCGTTGTTACAACCAAGTACACATTTTACTGTTGAGTTAAACAGAGGCAACAGTTAAGGATTTGCGCCCAGTCAATCCTCCCCGGCCAGGATACGAACCCATGACATAGCGCTGGCGGAACGCCAGGCGAGTGTCTTACCACTGCACCACGGGGACTAAAAGATCAAATTTTAATCTTCCTATCATGTCTTACGATTCTAGTTACGATATTCTTACGATATTCTATTTTCAACTTATGCGTATAAGGGAGCCGGTCGGCCGAGCGGACAGCACGCTGGACTTGTGATCTTGTGGTCCTGGGTTCGATCCCAGGCGCCGGCGAGAAACAATGAGCAGAGTTTCTTTCACCCTATGCCCCTGTTACCTAGCAGTAAAATAGGTACCTGGGTGTTAGTCAGCTGTCACGGGCTGCTTCCTTGGGGTGGAGGCCTGGTCGAGGACCGGGCCGCGGGGACACTAAAGCCCCGAAATCATCTCAAGATAACCTCAAGATATTAGTAAATCGTCACGAGGTATTATCTGTCTTGTCTTTCTCTCTTACCACTACTAATCTAAATATATAAGGAAGAACGTATGTCTGCCTGTCTGTCGTAGGTTGGAGACCAGACGCTTGGGGCTAGTCTCAAGCAGCTTTCACGCATGAATCATGTGGGGTAGGGAAATGTCATAGGCCAGTCGTGGGCTGCTACAAGACAACACTTTTCAGAATATGGGCATTTAACCCAGCCCTCCAGTACAATGTTCATGGTCAAATCTGAAATATTTCTTGTGCTGCCCTAAGACTTATCACTACATCACTACTAAGATATCACAACACATTCACCTTCCTGACATCACTGCACCTTCCCTTTCCTGATATCACTGCATCTTCATTTCCTTAAGATAACTACAGCTCACTTTCCTGTACTCTTAAGATATCTCACAGAGGCAAAACGTTCTCAATAAAGTCTTAATTCTGCTTTGAATTTCAACATGCATATTCACCCTCTTGTGCTGTCGCGAATGGCGTAGAATCTCGCAGCTGGTGAAGGCTGCTGAAGCTGGCGTGAGCTGCAGCAGCTGGCGCAGGCAGCCACAGCTGGCACAGGCTGTATCAACGGGCGTAGATTGCAGCAGTTGCATACGATAGCCAAGCTGACGTAGGCAACCGCAGCTTGTGAGGGGCTGCGGCAGCTGGGGGGAGGGTCAGGCAGCTGGAACAAGCAGATGCAGCTGGTGTAGGACATCACAACTTTTGTCAGAACTTCTTCAGAACTTCTTTGTTGTAAAGAAAGAAGTTCTGGTCAAGTCAGTAGACATTCCCGTCTGAGAGAGAGAGTCGACGCGGACTCTTATAGAGTAACGGAACGTCAGTCTGGTGGCGGACGCGGGCATATTAACCCCCGCGTATTAGGTCGATAACACCGGATTTATGAAGGGAAAACGCGGCTTTATGTCCGTCGTGAAGCTCTGAATTTGACGATAAAAGTGTTATCTGGCAGCCAAAGATACTGATATTTATTCTTTATAGAAAAATTTATAAGGCGGGAAATATGGTAGATGAAGATAGTGTCCCCCTGGGGCCAGATTCACGAAGCAGTTACGCAAGCACTTACGAACGTGTACATCTTTCCTCAATCTTTGACGGCTTTGGTTACATTTATTAAACAGTTTACAAGCTTGAAAACTTGCCATTCAACTGTTGTTATTGTTATAAACAGCCTCCTGGTGCTTCGGAGCTCATTAACTGTTTAATAATTGTAAACAAAGCCGCCAAAGATTGAGAAAAGATGTACAGGTTCGTAAGAGTTTGCGTAAGTGCTTTCGTGAATCTGGCCCCAGGACTCGTAAGATGGTCTCAAAAACACAAAGGAATAGTTCCATATGCAGACGAGGAGTCACAATAACGTGGCTGAAATATGTTGACCAGACCACACACTAAAAAGTGAAGGGACGACAACGTTTCGGTCCGTCCTGGACCATTCACAAGTCGATTGTCTATTCTCAAAACTTTACTTTCTAGTGTGTGGTTTGGCCAACGAATAGTTCCATCCTTCAGCAGAGGCCTATCCACGCACAATGGGGTTAGAAGTTAACACCAGAGATCTAGATACCAGTATATAGATACCTAAACACAAGAATAAACTTCACCTGCTACTGAGAAGTTGTTCTTACGTGGGTTACAACCCAAGATGCAACATTTTTTTTTTTGAGATATATAGAAGAGTTGTTACATGGTTGTAGAGCCACTAGTACGCGTAGCGTTTCGGGCAGGTCCCTGGAATACGATCCCCGCCGCGAAGAATCCTTGTTACAACCAAGTACACATTTTACTGTTGAGTTAAACAGAGGCTACAGTTAAGGATTTGCGCCCAGTAAATCCTCCTCCCCGGCCAGGATACGAACCCATGACAAAGCGCTCGCGGAACGCCAGGCGAGTGTCTTACCACTACACCACGGAGACTGTAAACATTGCATAAATCCAGTTCGAAGATCTAAGCGCCACTGTCTCTATAGTGGATTTATAATGGCGGAGGAGGAAAGTTGCGTTACATTTACATCCTGTGTCTTCTGCAGAAGACAGGCAGACGGTGACTACCTTGCTAAACACGTACTCAATCCACCTTCGAGGTCAACCCCGGAACTCACAATTCCTGCGACGGCGCTGGAACCAATCGTATTGGCGTATGCCTTTTCATTGGAGACTTTCAGCGCCGTGGAGAGGGGGGAGGACCTGCTGCATGGGTAACAGCTTCTCCCCCGTATCAACCTACCCTGGCTTTGTGCCCTGGAGAGGCCACTCCAGACCGACAACCAGAGCGCAACTCCATAGTCTCCTGAGACTGATGGATGACTACTACTCAAATTTTTACACTTCTGGCTTGACTAGACATCACAACGCTTGAGTCTCAACGCAAGGCATCAACGACTTGAAAACTGGTTCATTCTACACTGCCCGAAACGCTTTGCGTAATAGTGGCTTTAGGCATTGTATGTACTAGCTCTTTCTTTTTTATTTATTTATTTATTTATGCATATACAAGAAGGTACATTGGGAATGTGAGGACACATAATATGGTAATTACAGTCTTGTAAAGCCACTAGTACGCGCAGCGTTTCGGGCAGATCTTATCTATAAATCGATCAAAATTTTGGAAAATCTCTTGTATGTATGTACCTTACCTGAATAAACATTTATTTATTATTTATTTATTTATTAATCTCCGCTCTTTGGAGCTCATTGTTATCTTTAAAATGTGCAAGAAACTCGAGTCATTACAATTGGCAGAAGAGAAGGCGACTCTACTTCGCAAATGAGTTGCTCTGTTATCCAATTGCTCTGTTATCTTCGTCGCTTTCGTTCGAACATGAATAAATAGGAAACATAAAAAACAATGCGATGCATAATACTATTTTTTCTGCATCTAAATTTCTTTAAAAACATTTGATAACATGATCTTCAGAACTTGTGAAGAAACTGGAGTAATATAGTGACTAATTTTTTTTAATTTTGTCAAGTTCCTTAGAAAACGCCCATATAAGCGACAGGTAGAAAAAGATGGAGAAAATAGGTAGAAAATTATGATTGAAAGATAGAAAGGTGATTGAAGAACAAGGGGAGGGGGGGAGGGGGGGAGGGGGGTGCAGGGGGGATATCATGGGGGGGGAAGGTTGAAGCTTGAGTAGCAAAGCTTTGAAGCTGAAATATGTGCTTAGAGATCCCATTTAGAGATCTCTCCTGAGAGTCCCATTTAAAGATCGCCCCCTGAGAGCCCCATTTAGATATCGCTTCTGAGAGCCCCTCGTGATATCCGAGACCCATAGATCGCTTCTTATAGACACATGTGCAGTTCCAGTCAATAAAGGAAAATCCTATTAAGTAATATTGCGTTTGAAATCTGGATTCTGCAGTTCCACTTTCCTTCTAATTTTCATCTTATAAGTTTAATAGTAAACTTCTTATCATGCGGGGTCGCAGGGTAATAGAGCAAAAATAAAAGCGACTTTTTTATGTACGTAAAAACGATATTAAAGATCAAAAACAGAGGGAATGGCAATTCAAAACATTCCATGACAAATAACCTACGTCTTCTATAGTTCATCCTCACCAACGAAATCATTTTCTATGAAGTGCACCTCCAAAGAAAACGTATTTAGTGCATGGGTAACTCTTACTAGTAACAGGATCAGTAAACTTGTATGATTAACTTGATATTACTCCAAAGTTAAAAATTTTATTTATCATCAAATCTTATTTGATTTTTTTATGAATAAATTTCAGCGTATGAGTTCAATTTACAAATTATATAAACGACTATTTTTTTATATAAATAACCCGATTTAGCGTTTTGGATATCTTGAGGTTATCTTGAGATGATTTCGGGGCTTTAGTGTCCCCGCGGCCCGGTCCTCGACCAGGCCTCCACCCCCAGGAAGCAGCCCGTGACAGCTGACTAACACCCAGGTACCTATTTTACTGCTAGGTAACAGGGGCATAGGGTGAAAGAAACTCTGCCCATTGTTTCTCGCCGGCGCCCGGGATCGAACCCGGGACCACAGGATCACAAGTCCCGCGTGCTGTCCGCTCGGCCGACCGGCTCCCGGCTTATGTTACTAATAGTAATGTTAACTTTCATAAAGATAAAACTGGTTGATATATTAAAGATAACATATCGAGACATGATCCTGCTATTGTTGATATATTACAGATAACATGAAGATATGGTAATACTATCGTATGTAATGACAAATGTAATAGAGAAACTTTCATAGAGGAACTTAAATTTGGGGGAATGGAAGGAATTATCAGGGCAAAGCGCCAAGCCATCACGACTATATAGCACTGGGAAGGGGTCAGGATAAGGATTTGGGATGGGACGGAGGGAGAGGAATGGTGGCCAACCACTTGTGGACGGTCGGGGATTGAACGCCGACCTGCATGAAGCGAGACCATCGCTCTACCGTCGAGCCCAAGATATGGGGAAAAAATATGGGGGAAAACTTACCTGTATTCATCAAGTCTGAGGGTGATAAAGTCTGAGGGTGATAAAGTCTGAGGGTGATAAAGTCTGAGGATGATAAAGTCTGAGGATGATAAAGTCTGAGGATGATAAAGTCTGAGGATGATAAACTCTGAAGATGATAAAGTCTGAAGATGATAAAGTCTGAGGATGATAAAGTCTGAGGATGATAAAGTCTGAGGATGATAAAGTCTGAGGATGATAAAGTCTGAGGATGATAAAGTCTGAAGATGATAAAGTCTGAGGATGATAAAGTCTGAGGATGATAAAGTCTGAGGATGATAAAGTCTGAGGGTGATAAAGTCTGAGGGTGATAAAGTCTGAAGATGATAAAGTCTGAGGATGATAAAGTCTGAGGATGATAAAGTCTGAGGATGATAAAGTCTGAGGATGATAAAGTCTGAGGATGATAAAGTCTGAGGATGATAAAGTTGTTCCAAGGTTGTTAACTCACCTGTTTAAAGGAGCTGAGTGCGCCGTTGATGCGCAGAGTGTCTGCGGCGATGGTAGCGATGCCCTCGGAGGTGGCATGCGGACCGCATGACTCCTGCCGCGGCAGATACCGCAAGGACGCCGAAGGTTTCGGGTGATGACAATGGAGACAGGTTTCGGGTTGAGAGTGTTGGCGGATGATGCGGTCTCTGTAGAGGGTTGGCGCCACCACCACTACTTCGCTGATGCCGCCTTGGACCGACCGCACGCTCTCGTGCGACGGCGCCCGCGGCAAATGCGAGCAGGAACACCGCACCTGCGGCGCCAGGAGGCGATACCCGCGGTACTCCGGCCGGTTACTGCTTTCCCGCGCGTGGAGTTCGATGTCCGGAACGGAACGCGTGGCGCCGACTTCGTCGACGCCGCCCGCGTGACAGCGCTGGTTGAGAGAGATGAGCGCCGAGGAAGGGATGTATGACATCATGACACTGTCGCCGCTGTCGGCGCTCTCGCCCATTGTGATGAGTGGGCGTGGCATGGCGTGGGCGTGGGCGTGTCAGTGTCAACAGTTTCGTGGCTGGCCTTGACGTAGGCTAGGCGGTGTCTCCATCACGCGGCCTCTATTCCTCCACCCACGCTCCAGCATGGGCGTGCAGGGCCGCCCACCTGCGGCCTCGTCCACATGATAGGTGGCTGTGGGCGTGTGGAGCAGAGGGTGGACAGAATGACCCGGTGTAGCGCTCTCAATGCCTCGCCTCTTGCTCAACCTGCAAGAAGAAAACATTAATGATCAACATTGGAAATATATCACCAAAAATATCATTATTTTCTACTGTCGCTCTGAAAATCAATAGAAAACGGAATTGATGAAGCCATCATCTTGTTCGTCAACATATGGTAATAATCAGCTCGTCCTCCAAAAATGGGGTGGTAAATATAAGAACACAAATAAGTGCAATTATGTACTATTCATAGCAGTTAGGAATTGTACTTATTTTCACTTAGTAATAAATCGTAGTCAAATATATTGTGAATATTTGAGTTTACCTGAAAAACTGAATAGAAAACCACAACCTCACCTAACCGTCATAGTTTTTAAAGATAATAATTTTATTGCTTCTTAATTACAATTAATACTTAACCTATAGCTATATTGATATTACAGTTTTATAAAACTAATAAAACAAATCTAAAATATATCAATAAATTGTAAAGTAACTCAGGATATTTTAAAATTTTGCATAAAATCTATATTGTCTAATAAACCTGAAAAAGAAATTCCTGATATTTAAAACTTGTATATGGCAAATTAAAGTTGAAATTTTCATCCTAACATTCTGAGTGTCTTAACAGAAAACGAGGAGAATTAAATCGGGGGAGGGAGTTGGGTAAATGTAACAGCCCCGTAAGTGCAATTATGTACTGTTTATGACAGAAAGAAAATGTAAACCGGTGCACCTTTCCTTAATATACTTACATATACATATATACTTACATATACATATAGAAACCTATCATTGCAAATGAATAAAGAACTTGAAAAAATAGATCATGTTATATCTATATCTATATCAATATCTAAGTTTATTAAAACAAATATTATTTGTTTTTCTATTCGAGGTTGGAAGGCAGATGATTAGGGCTAGCCTCACCAAAAATTTCTCGCTTTTATGCACTTCAAAAAGAGGCTTACAAAAGTATTCCTTGCCACTTTTTTGGAATATTCCTATTTATCTCCATAAGATCTTTGTCATTATTACCGTTAAAAGTCAGTAGAAAAACCTACAGTAGTCACTAGGCTGTTGTGTTTAATGACGTATGTGTTAGAGAAAACCTGCTATATATATATATATATATATATATATATATATATATATATATATATATATATATATATATATATATATATATATATATATATATATATATATGTATTTGCGGCGAGGTGGTGGCTGACAGGTACGGTCACCATGGCCTACTCTGCCAAAGCACAGGGGGATGGCACTCGAGGCACAGTGAAGTTAACGACATCTTCAAGAGGAGCCTCACCACAGCTGGATGCCCAGCTGAAAGAGAGCCCCGTTACCTAACGCCCCGTAACTCTGATGCTCTTATTGGTCGCCCGGATGGTATCACAGTGAACCCCTGGAAGAATGGCAAGCAGTTGGTATGGGACTACACGTGCGTATCAACCCTGGCTAACACCTACATTAACCTCAGTGTTGCACAACCAGGTGGCGCTGCCACCCACAGGGAAGCAGCCAAATCCGGTAAGTATAGAGAACTGGATCACCACTACAATTTTGTCCCCATTGCTTCCGAGACGCTCGGCGCCTGGGGTAAAAGTGCTACCAGTTTTTTGAAGGAACTGGGTTCTAGGCTCATTGAAACAACAAGGGACACGAGAGCTGCAAGCTTTCTTTTCCAGCGCCTCAGTGTGGCGATACAGAGGGGAAATGCGCACTGCATCCAGGGTTCCTGCCCGCCATCTGAGGAGCTGGAGGAACTCGACAACCTATGACAACCATCTTTGTAACCCATATGTAACTCCTTTTTTGTAACAAAGTTCAAATAAAGTAAACATATATGTGTACATACAAAAGAATGGGGGTGGTAGGAGAAGATAATATTAGTGTTCAGTGAGAAACCACAAGGTCTCCTCTGAATACTTTTTATTTTCTTCTCCGAGGCTATGGGTCCCCACATTGGCACCAGAGGTGGTACCCTCACAAACTTTATATATATATATATATATATATATATATATATATATATATATATATATATATATATATATATATATATATATATATATATATATATATATTACTGTAAGGCTAGCTGCATTAAAGATGACCCCGATTAAAGAAGATACAGTCTGTAACCTCTGTCGACGACTTGAGCTCACACGAGTCAAAAATAGTTCACTCACAACACACAAAGTTCCTCTATTGCTTATGAGACCCAACTTGGTGATGCTGTAGGACGCTAGTCAGGAATATCGTGAACCTCACTCTCAGATGGGAAGCATTTACTGTACGACCCGAGGTCAGCATAACTAGAGGGCGCTTCCACAGACTAGAAATAGCAAATCAGATCATGTTTTATCCGTGACATCCGGTCACAGAATGACCTGATATCCACCATCATGAATGGTGAATGACTCTTTTTTTGTGCAGCCAATCTTATGGCTGCTTTCTAAACTGGTCAATCACAACTCACCATCGCAATGCTTTGTTTTAATTAGACAGTCGGATTCCCCTGGTCCGTGCCAGTTCTGAGTTGACCTATGACCTCTGGCAGTACCTAGGGAACATGGAGTGACCTCACATTTCCAGCGAGACTCTGCGCACCAAACTCGCTCTCACCTCCAAACATTCCACGGGAGACATCTCCCGTCACGCAGGGTGCAGTCGCACCTCCACAGATCTCCAGTATCAGCTCTTGATACTGGTAATGGCTCAAAAGGGCCACCACTTACGGGCTATTCATGCCCGTGCCACCTTTTGGGTGGCTTAATCTTCATCAATCAATCCAAACATTCGGCTTGAGCTGAATACATGCGTTTTCTGATAGACTTCTGGCCCTTGTGCAAGCGAGGAGTCACAATAACGTGGCTAAAGTATGTTGACCAGACCACACACTTAGAAGGTGAAGGGACGACGACGTTTCGGTCCGTCCTGGACCATTCTCAAGTCGATTGGCCCTTGTATAACCTTACAACGACGACACCCGACGACTATCATAGTGTCGTGTAACTGAACTGATTGGGGGCTACCAGGCGATACCCAACACCTGGCCTCAGGCAAGAACTTTACCCATGAACGCACAAGCGGCCTGTGAATTGAATGCACTTCACGCGACGATTCCACTCCATTGCTTCTTTCAAATGAATGTGAATTCCACAACTTTCATCCCCCAGCGACCTCTCTTTCTCAAGATTTATCCCATTGAACAGCATCCCAGCTTTTTTTTCGGGAATGACTCCCAAATTATATTGACCAATATACATTGCCATGTTAGTTTTGATTAAAAAAAAAATGGGTCGAGCATTTATTATTACAAATATAATTCAGTCCATACCATAAAAAAATATTAAAAAAATCGGCTTGTTAAGCGACTCTTGGTCTTACGATAAAATAATAATTCATTTTGTCGAGGACAGAATGACAGTATATATATATTAGCGCGTGAATGGCATTGCCGGGTCTGTCTTCCATCTGCCTATTCATCAATCTTTCCATCTATTTATCCATCTATCAATTCATCTATCCAACCATACATGAACAAATCTATCCTTCCACATATCCACCTATATATCTATCCATATGGCTGTCTATCCATCTAAATATCGATCCATTCATCTACCGATATAAGATATGAATATCAGATATTTTCTGAGATAATCAGTAGGAAGCCTTGAGAAGGATTCGAACCAATGCTTCGGGTACTCCCCAAGCACAGGCGTGTCCTTGATTCGAATCTACTCATGGCTCCAACTGATTTTCTCATAGATAGACTGATAGACATAAAATTTTTGATAGACTTTTATCTTAGTTCCCTCAAGGTGGAACTACTGACTCTTCCCAGGATGCAATTTCACAATACTGGCCTCTTGAGAAATCTCCTGATTAACTATTTTACAGAAGAGTGACCAGAGGAATTAGGTGAAAGAAAAAGTGCCAACCCGTTTCTACTCCACACGGGAATCGAATCTCGGATTATGAGTTGAAAACGAAGCCAACTGTTCCACAAGCACATACATAATATACATATATATCTATATATATACATGTATATCTTTATATGTACTTATATATGTGCAAAATTTCCATTTTGAAATCAGAAAAAGTGGTAACAATTTCGTTTTCTTAAGAGTTTTAGACAAAATAAACATGTATTAACTCTAGACGAAAATATATAAGAAAAAAGTCCTGTTGAAATCGCGTACTGGCACTTTAATTATTATCCATGTATCTATCCATCAATTTATCCATCCACCTGTTCATCCATGCATCAATCTACTGTCTCTGTTTCTGTATCTATATCTGGTGTCTCTGTCTATATCTGTCTCGCTCTGAGTCTTTGTCTCTGAATCCATCTACTTGTATCTGTCTTTCAGTCTTTATCTATCTGCCTCTGTCTATCTGCTCTGTCTCTGTCTCTCTCTCTCTTGCCTAAATATTTAATCAGATTTTTGCTGCTGTTGATATCAAGTATTTCTCGATAAATCTATAACGTTTGGGGAATAGCTTCTAAAATACTAGACAGCGGTTCCAACAAAACCCTTTCTCATACACACAAACATTAACACACACACACACACACACACACACACACACACACACACACACACACACACACACACACACACACACACACACACACACACACACACACATACACACACACACACACACACTCACACACATACACACACACACACACACACACACACACACACACACACACACACACACACACACACACACACACACACACACACACACACACACACACACACACACACACACACACACACACACACACACACACACACACACACACACACACACACACACACATACACAGCTGTGGTGGAGGCTGACTCCATACACAGTTTTAAGTGTAGATATGATAGAGTCCAGTAGGCTCAGGAACCTGTACACCTGTTGATTGACGGTTGAGAGGCGGGACCAAAGAGCCAGAGCTCAACCCCCGCAAACACAACTAGGTGAGTACATCTATCACGCATCTTCATATCTAT